TGTCCTGTCAATATCTAGTGCGATTTTGGCTCACTAGGTTGACAGCGGTCACCGGGTAGACGTAAACCAAGCGTTTCGCGTCTTTTATAAAGTACCAGCGAAACACTTCAAGTTCCTGCGTCAACGGATATTTGCGACGGCAGAAGCCGTGGCCATACGACTCACAAACCCGATCTTATGTGCACAGAAGGCCTTCGTAGTGGCCCAACGGCTCCCGTGGCCGAGAACAAACTCAAACTCAACATCCGTCAGCACACCTAGCATGCCGCGAGATGATGAACAGACAGTGACAACTGGTGTCAAGACGCAGCGAAGCGACGAGACGACCGTTGATATGAGCTAATTGTGGGACACGTCCCCCCTGTCCCCCCCTTTGATCTCTTAACAATTCCCCCTCCCCCTTCAAATCCAGTTGATTGGTTGCTTAAACTTTTGCTAACTCTACCCCATTTGTATTACTGTACACGCCTGATGATGAATTAATCGAAAACGTTCGCTCGCCTGCTTTGACTTCTTGAATGCTAAAATGGATATCATCGCTGAACTTAAATCATGTAGTCTTAGGCCATTCTTGAATTCATCAAGTCCATATGAAATACAAATAGTAATAGCGAAACAATGTTACCCGTATCCGCTACTGATTTCTGCTGATGTCTCTGATGATGAACCCACGATAGATCTCGAAACTTCAGGCTAATAAATATTGTCCCAGCGATCACGTTGTGTTCATCTCAGAAATCATGTTGTTCGTAGGAGTCGCGTCCTTGCGAAACAACAGTTTTCCTATAGAAACCATTGAAATTTTATGTGCCGAGATTGTAAGACAGGATGTTCTAATGGGCATGCCGGTTGGAGGCCTAAATAAAGTGCTCTTTAAATGTGCATTTCAGCTTCGACCGGCCGTTTTGCCGTTAAATCGATCGCGTAGCGATTAGGTCATCCCTTGGATCTCTTCTTATTGATGTAAGCATGGGGAAAATGGAGAACAACCAACTTTCTCCATTTATAGATGACCATCCATCCCATGCTCGATTTGAAGACGGTATCTATGAGTCTATGTACACATAATTACGACAGTCAGTTTTCCCTCCAAATCAATATTGTAGCGATGGAATGACCCTTGGACCTCTACTATCTGATGTCAGCAGTGGAAAACTAGAGAAAAACCAGCTCTTTCCAATTATAAAGGAACTTTCTTCGATATATATATGGTATCTTTGTGATGGTAGATGGAGAACTTACATTGGTCCACCCAGTGGCAACTTTCATTTTAGAAAGATAGAACGAACGAACAAATTAATAGAAATGCATTTCGGAACAAAACGTTTGCGGAAAAAAACAAAAATGTCTGCAGTTATTTCCCACTTAATCAGAAACGAAGAATAGTTACCTACTTTATATAACTAAGCTAGGATAATCTGTACTCCAAGCATGCTGGAAAACTAGCTCACCCTTAGAAGAAACAGCCTGTAAGAAAACAGCGTTCCCACGAAATTTGTCAGTAATGATATGGAGGAATGCTCCCAAAATCGGACATGCCGAAGACTGAAGCTTGCGAGTATATACATCCCTTTTTAAAGATAATACTGGGAGAAACATTTGCGAAAAACACCGAACAAGACTGAATAGTTATACAGCACCAGTAACATGTTGTAACATGCTGTCCTGGTGTATGGCAGCAAATATTTCAATTAAATCAGTTTAATGTGCCTTGCCTATGCACCCTATGTCACACTGAATCTATGAGTGTAAATACAATTGCGGACGTAAAGGCGCGCAAAGGAGTCGGCAACTTGGTCAGTCAAATGCGTAGTGAAATGGCTGTTGAGGGTAGAAACTACGGTAGCCTAAAGTTCTATCACGAGGAGGTTGGGGGGCAATGACAGTATTCAACGTTTTAATTCGGGCAACGCCTAATCGTTGTCTACGTTGTTGAGATGCCACAGCAATGTAGGGGGCGGGGGAGAAAACCCGAACTACGTAGGTAGGTGCACCACGTGCTCCGCACCACCCAGCATGGTAGGTGTCGGTGACAGAAAAAACCTCACGCACTCCCACCCCCATTGCCCGCATGACTGAATAACGCTCCACAGTGTATAGGCGAAATCAAACTTGACGAGAGCTCACTGTAATCTACGTCCGCTCTCCTAAATCAATCGTTCCTCCCCGTCCCCAGCGGACTCGCCCGCATGTGTGATTGCCATGCCCTGCCGTTGACTTATCTTCCCCCCCCCGTTTAATTGCTCTAGGCTGTTGTAGACTCATTATGGTAGGTGGGATGACGGATTGTAGT